CACACACACACACACATTCACGCAACATCAATAACAGCATCCATGTATCTCAAACAAGGAAACGAAATATTCATCCTTTTAATAATAATTGTTGAGGAACAGGTCAGCCTTGATGAAATTACATACAAGTGCACATGTACACAAACACACACATATATACACTCACATACATGCATATACACACACGCACATACATGCATGCATTCATATATACGGACACATATACTAAAATAAATATAAATAAAATAAAAATAAAATAAACTCATTACTGAATTAAATTGAATTGCATATACATGCATGCATTCATTCATACAGACACCGACATATACATGTATGCATTCATATATACAGACACCTACACATGCATGCATGCATGCATTCATATATACAGACACTTACGCATACATGCCTTGTAAGTATAAAATATATTCAACAGACATACAACATTTATTCATTCACGTATTGCACATATACTTGTACATCCGCAGAGATAATTTTAAATAATAATAATAATAATGATAATAATAATGATAATAATAATAGTGATGATGATGATGAGGATGATGATGACGGTGATGACAAAAATGACGAAAAGGATAACGATGACGTCACGAACGATTAATGAGGAGGCTAATGATGATTGCGTATTAGGTTCGTGATGGCTCCCGTAATGATGATGATGATGATAACGATGATGACGATGATGATGGCAATGACGATGATGACGATGATAATAATAATAATAAGATTATGATGATGATAATAATGATGATGACGATGATGATGACGATGATGATGATGATAATGATAACGATGCGGTTGCAGCTGGTAACTTTGACGATGTAGTTTTATATGAATGGTCACATTTTATAATATTTTTTTCGTACAAATAAAATTAATTTATCCTCATCGTCGTCATGATCATCATCATCATCATTATTATTGTTATTGCTATTATTATTATTATTGTTGTTGTTGTTGTTGTTGTTATTGCCTTCGTTATAATGGAGACCGATCAGAGTGCATATTAATCAAGAATTTCAAATCTGCGGAAGTCGTTACAAAACGAAAAAAAAAATAAATTTTTTCTTTCCATAATTTTTATTCTACGTTTCTTTTTGTTGCTTTTGTCTGCTCCGTGCTATTTAGTTTTGCACTTGCTGTTTTGAATCTCTCATTTTTGGGTCTTTGTTTTTATGTTTGCTATTGCTGTAGTTGTTGTTGCTGCTGTTATTGTTGTTGTTTGTTGTTGTTGTTGTTGTTGCTGTTGGTGTTGTTGTTGTTGTTATGTTGTTGCATTTTTCATTTGTTTTTATTAGTTTGCCCGACGTAGTTTTTTTATTTTCTTTTTTTACTTTTCAAAGAAACGTGACGCGATATTTCTTATTTACGTGATTTAAGCCGTATATATATGTATATATATATATATATATATGTATGTATATCATATATATATATATATATATATATATCAGTACATATACACACGTACACATTGATACAACCATAAATGCATCTGGCTGTACCATGAAATCCTCTAATCATTTTTCCCTTCTCTTCAGTTTTATTTCTCTGAGTTTTTTTTTCCAATTATGTTTTTTAATAAAGACAAATAAGAAAGAGGCAAGACAGCAAACAAAACATGAAAACGAAAGAGAATTTTTTTAAACGACGCTAGGTGACGTGGATGAAGAGGGATTTTCAGTGCAGCTGTTCCAGTACCAGTGGACTGTATATTTGTCTGGATGATGATGATGAGATGGATGATGATGATGATGATAGTAACTGTAATAGTAGTAGTAGTAGTAGTAGTAGTAGTAGTAGTTGTTGTTGTAGAAATAGTAGTAGTTGTAGTAGTTGTTGTAGTTGTAGTAGTAGTAGTAGTAGTAGTAGTAGTAGTAGTAGTAGTAGTAGTAGTAGTAGTAGTAGTAGTAGTAGTAGTAGTAGTAGTAATAGTAGTAGTAGTAGTAGTAGTAGTAAAAGTAGTAGTAGTAGTAGTAATGAAAGAAGTGGTAGTGGTAGTAAAATTAGCAGCAGTAGTAGTTATGACAGTAGTAAAAGTGGTAGCGGCGTTGGAGCAGGTATTAGTGGGTGTACTTTACTGTTATTTTATTGTTATTCTTTTTATTATTTTTTGTTATTTCTGTTGTTTTTATTTTTATATTTTGTCATCGTTTTTCGGCTGTCGCTTTTTTTTGTTTGTTTGTTTGTTTGTTTGTTTGTTTGCTTATTTGTTTGTTTGTTTGTTTGGTTGTTTGTTTGATGGTTTTTTTGTTTTTTTGTTTGTTTGATTGTTTGTTTGTTCACTTGCTTGTCTAATTGTTATTTTTATTATGTATTTTTTAATTACGTTTGCTATATATATTTTTTTATTGTAAATCTGTATGATTGAACAGTTAAAGGGATATTATTATTATTATATTATTATTATTGTTATTATTATTTTATTATTATTATTGTTATTCTGAGTGTTGTGTAGTTTATGAAGCTTTATACTGCTATCGTTAAAAATTTATCAACAAAATTACATACACAAATATCACATTAACAACATCACGTTAACAAAAACACACAAGGAAAAACACATCAACCAAAACACATAAACAAATACACAGTAACAAAAACATCAACAAAAACGTACACAAACACATCGTCATCATCACCAGCACGACAAACATGACAGGACAGTTTGTTTCGTTATTATCATCATTGTCGTCATCATCAAAACCATCATCATCACTACGATCTACATCATATCATCATCATCATCACCACCATCATCATCATATCATCATCATAACAATCTTTATCATATCATCATCACAACCATCATTCATCTCTTTTTCAGAAGATAGGATAAACTGTAGCGGTTTTGCTATTGTCATGATTATTTTTTCTGCTATGTTGTTGTTATTGTGTTGTTGTTATTGCTGTTGTTGTTGTCTTTGTTATTGTTATTGTTGTTGTTATTGTTGTTGTTGTTATCGTGTTTTTTTTCTCATGCGGAGCTAAAAAGAAATTTAATTAAACGGCTGTCAAAAAAAACAGGAGGTACAAAAAATATTAACAACAACAACGATAACAACAACAACAACAATAACAACAACAACATCAGATGACATCAATGAACAACAACAGCAACAAAATTATGACTGAAGGTGATTTAAACAAGGAATATCTTCACTGAAGAATGCAATTGCGATCAACATTATTTTTACAGATTCTTATCAAAAACATCAACAACTACAACATCAACAACAACAACAACAACAACATCATCAATAACGTCAACATCAGTAACAATATAACATCTTCACCATCATCATAGTCATCGCCACCATCATCATAGTCATCTTCACCATCATCATAGTCATCTTCACCATCATCTTATAACACGAGTTGTCATCATTTTAATCAAGAATCCCCTTTTTGCCTTTTTCACAAGTATATACATATAAATAAGTGAGGCAAAAATCTATGCACAATAATCATTGCGACTATCTATGTACATATATGTGTGTGTGTGTGTTCGTGTGTGTGTGGTGTGCATGTGTTTGTGTGTGTGCAATGTGTTTGTGTGTGAGTGTGTGTGTGTAAAAAATTTTTCCCGCAATGACAAATAAGATCAAATATGTAAAGCAGTACAACATTTGTTTTTAAAAATTTTCAAAAATTGCTCTATCGACCTATCGACAAATAAATTTAACATTATTTTTACTTTGTTTTCATCACCACCATCATCATCACCAACACCATCATCACCACCATCATCGTCATCATCATCATCGTACGCTAGAAAATATGCCGTAAATATTTAAAATTTGTTTTATTTTGGGCGATTGATATTCTTAAAATGTGATAACAGATATCATATCATCACTGCTGATACTTTTATCATTGCTAAGCCATAGAGTTCAGTTTTATTTCAATTTGTTGGCATTGAATTCTCATGATCATATGACGTCATTATTATGACTTTGAGAATGACGATGTTGAAGTTGAAGTTGCATAGTTACAATGACGAGGACAATGTCATCATCTCTATATCGTCGCCTAGTTAATTTTAGCCATTTTCGCCTTCGTCATCATTCTTAAAAATACGATGACGTCATCATCTTTATAAATACCACCTTTTAATTACCTTGTAAGTATCACCACCGTAAACCGTTAAACCCGCCAAAAATATATTTAATTGTAATTAATAGAATTAATTATCCGATCAGCATGAATAATACGATTGTCGTGATAATCATCGTCATCATCGTTGTCGTCCTCACCATCATCATCATTATCATTATCACAATCATCACCATATTCATCACCATCATAATCATCACCAGCAGCAGCAATAATCATCATCGCGCCCTTCATCACGTGCCACCATTCCATGCAGTCACGCATCTATTGTTGCGTTTTGACTGATTACTTCGCTTAGGTTCACTTGCTCTGTTTCTCTCTTTCTTCATCTGTCTCTCTCCTTTTTCTTCTCTCTAACTTTTTCCAGTAGCTTTTACTTTCTCTCTTTTTTCATTATTTCTTCTTCTTCTCAATCTAACCAATTTTTTCTCAATTTCATTTTTTCGATTTTTTTCAATTATATTTTTAATTTGTTTTTTCCATTCCTTTATTATTTTTATTTTTCAATTTTCAATGTTGCTCTCCCTCCCTTCCTCCCTCCCTCTCTCTCTTTCTCTATTACCTTCTTCTTTGACGAATCAATCTGAATGTACGTACAGAATGTACAGAGAGGTTTTTTTTATCAAACATACAAAAATTGCATAAATGAATGAATGAATGAATGAACGAACGAACGTGAACGAACGAACGAATAAATGAATACATGTTTATAGATTTTTATGAAATAAAAATAGACAGTACCATAATATAACCATATGCGTGCGTACATACAAATCAATATTTATGCACAAATACCAGTATAAAATGTATAAATACCAATAAATTTGTATGTGTACTAAGTACTAGGTATACATTGTATATACATGCATACATGTATGCAAACATTAGTGCTGAACTATCACTACATATCTAGACCACACAGAGATACATCTTTGAATTTGGAGATTCAAGTTAGGATGATTAGAGTTCAGCTGTGGAAAATGGGGATTGATATGCTTTCAGTATGCTTTTGTTGAAAACAAATAATACAGTTGAGTAAACACACAAACACACACGACACGCACACACATACACAAATACTGACATACATATACATACATACATACATACATCGAAGACAGCCCGAACTGAAGGAAAAATTGTTCAAAAAATTATTGAAATCATTTTTGTTTTCATTATAAGATTTAATCGTAGCAATTCAACTGTTTTTATTAGACAGTGCTTTTGAGAAACATTTTGTTCGTAATTAGCGCTATACAAATTTTCGAATAATAATACATACATACATACATACATACAAGACATACAAGGAATAGTCTGCCAATGTCGATGGGAGTGTCGAAGATGGGCAATGTTGATTTCAAAAAGAATTTGAAAACTTATCTATTTGCGATGAACGATTGTAATGGATTGTATCATTTCGTTTATTGATAGGATGTTCATTATTTCACTGTTTATTTATTATTTTTTCTTTTTTCGATAGTGCTTGTGAGAGATATTTATTTTAATAGGCGCTTTATAAGTGTTTGATAATAATAATAATACATACATATATACATCCCCGCACTCACACACACACACACACATACACACACACACACACACACACACATATATATATATATAACTATGATGACGATGTCGAGATTGTTGATTATGATGAACAGTGATGATGAAAATGATGATGACGACGACGGTGATGACGTGATGCTTTCACTGGGAATGATTATGACATAGTGAGTAGAATGATTAAGTTATGATATTATGACTGTATAATGAGTAGAACGATGATGATGATGATGAGTGCAAGGAAGTGGTGATGATGCTGTTGTGGATGAAATTTGTGTAAAATAAACAAACTACTTTTAGCTTAGAATTGTTTTTTTTCAAAACAAACATAACAGCCGCGTAGACACACACACACACAAATACACACACAAATACACACACACACATTCATACAAATACTGAAAACTCACACATACATCACATACATACACACAAATATATATATATATATATATACATACATGCATGCATACATACATACATACATACATACATACATACATACATACATACATACATACATACATACATATATACACACATGCATACGTGCATACATACATACATGCATGCATACATACAGACAGACATACATACATACATACGTGTGATTTGTGTGTTCTTTCTGAGACAAAAAAAATTGTAGCAAAAAATGTTTTCAATGGAATGAAGAAAAAAATGCAAAAAAAAACATAACAAGACTAATGCGTGGAAAAGGAGCTTATTTATTAACAGTCACCTTCAAAAGACTAAACTTTTAATTTTTCCACTCCCCATCAACAACTTCTTTTTTGGTTTGTTTTTGGTTTGTTTTTGTTTTGTTTTTGCTTTGTTATTGTTTTGTATTTCAAAACTTTTCTGAGCGTTTTTCGCCTATTTTTTCTGAAATTTTTTTCAATTTTTTCGGCGGAAAATTCAAAAATATATGTTCCGTGCAGTGCCTGGCAGTTTGTTTTCCAGCACTGATTTAAATTTTCCTTTCAAAATGCCACTGACGTTGACTTTAATTATTTAGTGTTATTGTTCTTATTATTATTATTATTGTTGTTGTTGTTTTTGTTGTTGTTATCGACAATACTGTTGTTTTCGTCATTTTATTTTATTGCTAGTGATGTTTTGTTACAACACTTTCAAAAACACGCTTACACTCACATACAAACATAATAACGAACAAAAACATTCAGACACACATACAAACATACCAATACACACACACACAGACGCACACACACACATATGCAAAAAACACACAAAACTATTCACGTTCACAAACACAAGTGCATAGAGATGCGTATAAACATCTAGGCAGGTTTGTAAACACATAAATGTACATACTTCACATATAGAAACGCGAACGAAAACGCATACACATACACACACACAAACAAACAAATGCCGGCAAATAAACATACACAAATAATATACATACAAACAAAGATACAAACAAAGATATAAACAAACATCGTACAAATGCGTTAACAAACACACACATCACATATACAAATAAAAGTTAAACAAAAAAACATAAACATACAAACACATGCATACATATGTGTGCGCACAGATACATATACACACATACTAACACGCAAACATATACATACATACATAGAAACACACAAACAGAGACGCACCATATGTACGACTGGCATGTTTTAACATCAAAAGTTTCAATGAATTATTTATGTGTAACGATGCTTTTTGCTGTTTGGGCTATTAAAAATTATTTTCAAAGAAAAACTACATGTATGTATGTATGTATCTATGGCTGGATGTATGTATGTATGTATGTATGTATGTATGTATGTATGTATGTATGTATGTATGTTTGTTTGTTTGTATGCAATAGGAGCGGTGTGGTTTATTTCAGGTTGTAATTTATGTTGTCCTTCCCATCAGCTTCATAATTTTCCTCGCCATCTCCATCCTCACTCTTATTTACACTTCAATGAAATACAAGCGTCACCACTTTAATCATCGTCATCATCTTCTATTTTATCACCACCATCATCGTCGTCATCATCAGCTACTGTGCTAGTTATCCTCCTTATTTGTTCCATCATCATCTTGATCATCATCATCTTGATCATCATCATCTTGATCATCATCATCTTGATCATCATCATCTTGATCATCATCATCTTGATCATCATCATCTTGATCATCATCATCTTGATCATCATCATCTTGATCATCATCATCTTGATCATCATCATCTTGATCATCATCATCTTGATCATCATCATCTTGATCATCATCATCTTGATCATCATCATCTTGATCATCATCATCTTGATCATCATCATCTTGATCATCATCATCTTGATCATCATCATCTTGATCATCATCATCTTGATCATCATCATCTTGATCATCATCATCTTGATCATCATCATCTTGATCATCATCATCTTGATCATCATCTTCACCCTCTTTCTTCTGTACAATCATCTTCATTCTAATCTTATCATACTCGTTATCGTCGTATAATTGTTCACTGTAGTTGTTTTTGTCATTATTATAAGTTAGCAAAAGCATTCATATTATTTTTATCTAGAAATCGGTGATACTTAAATTTTGTTCATTTATTCATTCCATCATTACTCACTGATTGAAGAACAATAACAAAATCCACTGACATTCATTCATTCATTCATTTGTTCGTTCGTTCGTTCGTTCGTTCATTCATTCATTTATTCATTCATTGATTTGTTTATTTACTCAATATCTCATCAACAATTACACACCAATCTTCGACAGGATCTCGTCTGCAGTTGAACCCGGTTCGCAGATCAGACGCGGGCATCTACCAGTGTATCGCCAAAAACAACGTGGGAACTGATGTTAAATACGCCAGACTCGATGTCATCCATGTCGCAGACACCACCACCAACAATAACAACAATAACAACAACAATAACAACAACAAAACACAATCAACCCCAAATGACTCCTTCACCATTCCGGGCAAAATAACAGCCAAGCAGAGTGGCAACAGCGCTGTTTCCATCGGCTGGACCTACAGTCCCCCGAGCAACGAAACCCCGCAAAATTTACCGAAGTGGTTTACCATTCAATACAAGCAGGATGGCTCGTCACTCTGGAAAACTTGGCCCCACAACATCGCTCCCAAGTCCAGGGAGTTTCAAATGACAAAACTCACTTCAGGTTCTTTGGCGCATTTCTTATTTTAAGAATTTTTTTGGTGAAAATTTTTTTGGTGCAACTAATCAAAGTTATTACTTTTGTTCGCTAGGCGCCACTTATCAGTTCAGAATCATCGTGACGTATTCGAATGGGGAGAGCAAGTTTGGCCCCATATCATCGAAGGTCACTCTGACGGCAGACCATCACCTCCTGCCCGTGCCAAACATCGTTGAGACACGCCCACTCGGTGACTCGCAGCTTCTTATTGGCTGGCAGGTTGTCATCAAATTTAAACTTAAGTTGTTTGATGATTTGAACATGTAATCTTATTAATTAGTCGATAAGGTCGAACGAGTTGGCTTATACCAATGCTGTCAATCGTAGCTGGAAATAGGTCAGAAACATAAAATAAATTATTTAATAGGTTAAAATAATTTTTTAGAAATCTTATATGACGCGTAAGTAAGTATGCAAAAAAACAAAGACGTCAAATGTTTCAAAATGCTGGAAATGAATGCAAATGTAATGTTACGTCACGTGGTCGTCACGTGGTCCTCTACAACAATCCGACCCTCAGATCCAGTCGCCGGCCACTCAATCGCCATCGAGTCAGGGCGTCAGCGTGGCGACTCCTGATTATTACGTCATCAGTTACGCGCCAATCAGCGAGAGTTTCAAGCGGGCCAGACAGTACAGGGTGGACGATTCCGCAGCCAGGAAGGCCATCCTGAACGCCGTAGAAGACGGGGTGACTTACAAAGTGCGCATGCGATGTCACAGCAACCTCATTGGCAAGGGGGGGTTCAGTCGGGTTGTCGTCGTTGATGGAGTTGGAGGTGGGTGGGTCAGCCGGCTGGTGGTGGTAGTGGTTTTGGTGTTGATGAGAATGTGGAGGAGGATGATGGTTATGATTATCGTGATGGTAATGAAATGATAATTTTCATGGTGATGTGATGATAGTGGTGATGATATAATAATGATGATGGTGAGGATGGTGATTTCGACTACGTGGCAGACGATGTTTTGTGGTGTCAATGGAGATGTAAATAAATTTTTCGAACCACCCTCCTGCAGGGAATTCAGACTGGTCACCCAACAAGGAATACGGCATGGATGATGAAGACGTTAACGACAGGCACGATGACGGAGAGATGGAAGATGAAATGGAGGAAGAAGTGTTTCCGGCTTACGTACCAACTGGAAAAAACCACATACCAGGCAATTCGGCTTCGAAAAAAGTTGGAGAAAACAGAAAAGGGAACGAAGCTGTTTCGACCTGGGTGTACGCAGTGCTGGGCTGTCTTGTTGGCCTCATCTTGCTCGTCGGGTTGGCATGTCTCGTCGGATTTTTTGTGAAGAAGAGGAAAATGGGTGAGTCGCTTTTCTACAACTTTTTTAATTTAAAATATACGCGTGTGTTCATTCGTGTAAAACAATATTTTACGCTCATGCTATCAAAAAATTATTAATTAACATCAGCGTAATTTTGAAGTTGGAATCATTTAAGACTAAATTTATAGATTAGTGAAACAATAAATTTGTGAATCACCAAAAGTTAAAGCGGAGAAAGAAAATGAAAACTTGAAGAATGAATGTTTGGAGAGGTTGAAGCCACCACATGCTCCGCACCCCGTCCACTTGCTGACCTCCTTATCTGCAGACCATCAGAAAACCAGCACTTCAACAGCTACTGCCTTCCAAAACAACTTCGTGACGCCACTTCATCAGCCACAGACCTACCGACCAACGATTATTCACGAAAATTATAAAATCAACACAAACCCCAAAGGGACAACCTCTACGAAGCCTCTTCCTTACACAGGGTCAGCTATAATTGGGACCGAGAATGTCGAGGGTACGTTCAGGGCGAGCAATTCATTTTTGCCGCCCGTTAGTAGGTTGGGGACCAATCGACCTGGTGCCGAGTTGATTCCTGGAGATGACGGGGTTACGATGAACCGCTGTGCCGATGGCAGTTCAATCCCAGAAATGAGATTATCTCAAAGTTTGTTGTTTTTAATATGTTTTTCTAATTAATTTTTTAAACCATTTTGCAAAAAACTGTCATTTAAAATCAGTGGTTTAAAAGTAATTAATCAAACTTTTAATTCAAATAATTATCCAATCGAATATCCAATTATCGACTGATTGGATAATTATTTACCTTATCGTAGAATCATCTAACATTCGTCCAACCAACCAACCAACCAACCAACCAACCAACCAATCAATCAACCAACCAACCAACCAATCAACCAACCAACTAACCAACCAACCAATCAACCAACCAAACAACCGGCCAATCAACCAACCAACCAATCAACCAACCAATCAACCAACCAACTAACCAACCAACCAATCAACGAACCAAACAACCGGCCAATCTACCATCCAACCAATCAACCAATCAATCAACCAACTAACCAACCAATCAACCAACCAACCAACCAACCAATCAACCAACCAACCAACCAACCGACAGACCACATATACAGCACACTAGAAGACCCACACGTATCCCCTCTCTCTGATTACGCTTGCAACGGAATTCTAGCTGGCCAACTTACTGACATAAAGCCCTTACTACAATCAAACCACACCGTTGTGTCATCCAACTGGCTGGCTTCGGGTTCGAATCCACGAGAGGGCAGCGATTTGAGTGATGGTCGGTTGGAGACATTTACTAAATGAATGTACCTTTATTTCTACGCGTTTTAGCACGGAACAACTAATTGTTTCGTGTTTTTAATTTCAGTGTAGACATTATGCATAGGACGTTTAATTTATTCTGTCATTGTGTGAAAATGTTTTTTATAATAATTTTTGCCTAAATTTAGTGCAGAATATCAATTGCGAATTATTTTCAAATGGACCAAACAGGCTTCGAAGCGAACTTGGGAGCCACGGAATGGGACGACCACCAGTACAGCAGCCTGGACAACTTCGCCACCATCCCACTAACTCTCTCCAACTCCCAATCTTTCCACAATCCTCACTCGCCCTCGCCAAACGACAACAACGACAACTTCGACCTGCATCAAGCACACCATCATCTCCATCATCCACCTCCTCCTCATCATCATCCTCCTCCCAATCACCTCTACCCACAGCAGACAAGAAGCTTTCAAAAACCAACCACTTATAACAACCACACGAGCGGTCTGGCGCACTACCAGCTGGCTTCCGGTCAACAACATCATCCCCCGCCTCAGCCAATCATCTCGCGAGATTCTAATTTAATAGCCAGAGTGGTCAAGCTTGGTACTGCCAACGCTCAAACGTCGTCGTCGTCGTCATCTGCTAATAAGAACAACGAAGTTAATAACGCTTGCCATAACAATATAAACAATAATAGTAATGTAAACAATAATAATAATAATAGCCGATACAATCATGACCGCCAGATCTCAAACAGTGCTCAATGATTTGTAAAAATACTCATTATTATTATTATTGTGTTTATTATTGTCATTATTATTATTATTATTATTATTGCAGTTTTCATTATTATTGCAGTTATTATTAATATTTTAATTATTATTATCAAATTATTAATATCTGGATTGAATTTTTATTTAAACAATATTTAATGAAAATATTGCAAATGTTAGGTATAATATATATTTATTTCCCCTTCTATTTTCAGATTTTTTATTTATTTATTTTTTCATAATTTTGTAAAAATTATTATCGTTGACAAGTTTTGAAAACCGAGCTTATTCTGCCTATAAATGCCTGTTCAAACTAGTACCAACATTGCTAATTTTATTTCATTTCATTCATTATCTAATTAATTTATTAAGTTTAAATATTATCATTTTGGAGCCAGCCATTTATATATATATATATACGTATTGGTAATAGACCATAATTTTTACAATATTCTATAAATTCTACCGAATGTTTGGCGTTAATATGAACTACAAACATATTAACGCCAAACATTTGGTAGAATTTATAGAATATTGTAAATATATATATATATATGAATTTTATTTTTATATATAAAACACTATCAAAATAAGACTCATGCGCATTGATACAAAAATATTTTGATGATATGGTGATAAACAAGACAACGCAAGACATATCTTGATATATATATATATCTTTTGTAAGATAAATATATATATGTATGTATATGTATATATATATATACACATATATGTATATATAAGTGTGTGTATAGATATATATATATATATATATATATATACAATACATATATATCAACTGTATCTATTATTTGATAATGATATAGCAATGATATTTAAAATGATATACGTATAGAATAATAAATAGCTCGATATACTGATGATATAATGATTATAATACAATGATATTTGTTATGATATACATGGCATGCATAAGCACGTATAATAATATGATAGTATAATGATATGCAATGATAAACAATGATACAAATCTTATAACTATAATAATTAAACTGGAACATCTCAGGTTTAGCGGTGGTCAAAATCTTCCATCCTTTACCGCAATATATAAAAACAATAAAAATCATTATTATTAAACTTTAATAATAATAATTATTTTTATTATTATTGACATTATTTTTTATGAGCATTTGTTGACCGACTTTAATTTTTAAATTTTTTACCGCAAGCTTTTTTAAATCTTATTTGATATGACTTTTATAGAGAGATTTATATGAATTTAATTAATAATTAAATGATTTAACTTATTGGTTAATTAGTTAAATAATGGATTAATTAATTAAATAATGGAATAATTGATTGATTAATTAATTAATTATCTAGTTGGTTGATCAATTACGTACTCGTTGACTGATGAAAAAGATCTGTAAAAATATTTTCATTTAATTTTATTTTATCGTTAATATTTTCTTCATTGTTCGTTTGCCACCGTTGATAGAGAAAAAACATTTGAAAAAAAAAACCACCAAACATACCTATTACCTTGAAACAAACACAAGCAAAAACACACACACAGTCAAACACACACAGTTACACACACTGAGACACATACACACAGAGAATCGATGTAAAAAGTTATTTCATTAGAATTGTGATGTAATGCGTACATTTTTACATTTTTTTAAATTTCTTTCTCTTAATATTACATTTTCTTTTCATTTTTTCTTATCCGTGAAATTAGAGACAGTAGATTCATTCATTTACTTACTTACAGCAGTTACGACAACAAATTTTGTTCATTTCTGTTGAATATATATGAAAAAAATCAAAACTCATATCCACGTGTTTGTATAATTGTAAAATTTCAAAACTATCTACAGTATATAATAACACATCACTGATCACATTCCCCACTGACAATTGTACCTTGGTTTTGTTTGGTTAGCGTTTGGTTAGCAGAACTGGTGCGGACATCAATTCAATGGTAAGAGCCTGCCATCAAAAGTGCTCGATTCCGTCAGTCCTGCTTGTATCAACCCACGTGAAGGAATACGACAAAATATAATTGAAGCCATTGGCGAAAAAACAGCCAATATCTAGAAGGTGTACTGGATTGTACTAGAACAGCCGAAGTTGCCACTCAAGCACTCATACGTTCAGCAACTGATGGCTTGATGTTGCGTCAAAAACTAACGAAGAAGAGAAAAAGAGGAAAAAAAGAACTGGAAAACGGACGACAATCGAAACTTGATTGATACGTTTATTAAAGAAAAACAAAAAAATATGACAGCCAGATTAATTATCCTACTTCGGCAGTTTTACGTCATCTTAGCCCTGACAGGCTTTTCGTCATAAACCTGTCAATATCAATCAATCAATCTTCGTTTATTGATTGAAAACCTGTCAATATACAAAACTTATTTACGCCTTTAATTTTTGTTGTAAATTTTTGGAAAAGCGGGGCAATTAGATGATGTTGAAAATGTTTATTAACTTAATGTATGGCTTTTATTATGTTTCCATTAATAAAAATTCTTCATTCGGCGAACGATAAAAATTCAGAACGGTCTTTACGGTTTTTGGAAACAACGCTCACTTACTCACTCACTCACTCATTCACACACACACACACACACACACAAACGCATGCCCCTCTACTGAAAATATTAATTAATTAATCAATTATTGATAAAAAAAAACATAATAATAACAAAATATAATAATTATATTATAGTTATTGTTCGACTAAATGCTGATGGCCTGCATCGTCCACCATGCCAGCGGTTGAAAAACCTTGCAACATCTGCTGCTGTTGTAGGAAAGCCTGGATGACTGCATTGACGTCGCCACCGTTCAATTCTAGCACTGAAATGAAGGTTTAATTAATCGTCATTAGTTAGTTAATTAGTTTTAATTAATTTAAATTAAATATATTATTATAATACTGAGATAGTAATTGCAAGCATTATTATTATTAAAAATTATCGATTGTTACTATTTTTATTTGTAGAAGCAGCAGCAGCAGCAGCAGTGATAGTAGTAGTAATAGCAGCAGCAGCAGCAGTAGCAGTAGTAGTAATAGTAGTAGTAATATTATTATCAAGCTAAATTATAAACAGACATTAAAAAGAAACAATAAATATCAAGGAATTAAAGAATAATTATAATTAATAATATAATTAAAAGTAAATAAATTAAAATGAAAAAAAGTAAGTAGGGCAACTTTGCATGATGAGATCCCGGTTGGTGAATCCCATCAGTGCGAGTTGATGTAGCTGGTTGTCAAACTTATGCTCATCATCCTGAACAGTCAATTAATCAATCAATTAATCAAGCCATTCAAGCCAATCAATCAATATATCAACCAATCAAACAAACAATCAATCAATCAATCAATCACTCAAAAACAGTCAACTAATCAACAAGTCAATAACAATCAATCGATCAGCTAGTCAGTCAGTAAATCAGCCAATCAATGAGCACCTTATCATAGGCCACAGATTTCAGCATACCAGTCAGATAACTACTGCTTGTTTGACCTTCTGACCTGAAAGAGTAAAATTTTTTTACATGCCAAAATTGATAAACTTGAATGACATTTAACGAAATCAAAATAAGAAATAATAATAATAATAAAACAATGGACACTAACATATTGAGGAAGAACCCTGGCGAGCACCTCTCCAGCTCTTTCATCCCATCCTGGATCTCCAGTATGGCCTGGAGGGCACGAGGATTAATCATCAGGCTGTAGACCTCGGGGTTCAGTAACTGCTGGGCTATGTAGGGCAGTGATTGGTCAATGGCGATCTTCACCTCGTCGCTGTTTTTTACACCCGGCGAGTGATGGAGCATCTAGGTAAAAGGATGGAAGGAATGAAAAATGGATGAAAAAATAAATTCATTTAGAGGTTTTGACAATTCATAGCTAATAAAAGAAAAGAGAAAATTGAAAAATTTATTTTGTAGTATGTTGAATGTTAGTTGGTTGAATCTAAGAGACAAATTTTGCCAACCCAACCCCCATTCCTCGCCATTAAACCCCCCCCACAGCACAACCTGTCTTAACAACTGTGGATCGTTTGCCATGTAGTTTATTGTCGACTGCACGTACGAGGATTCCAGAACGTCGGCGACACCGGCCGAGTTGTTGATGAATTGCTTCAGCAGGCATTCCGTCGCAGTGCCCAACGATGGCTGCTGTCGTGACTTCGTATCGCAGCTTTCGTCCTCTACTGCCGATGATGACCTGATTGGTAACGTCGTCTGCTCATCTTTCATTTGAGCCTCTGAAATGCAAGTCGAGAAAAAATTTAACTAAATAATTTAATTAACTAATTTATTAGTTGATTGGTTAATTGATTAATAAGTTGAGCACATTATTTGAATATTTTATTCCACAAAATGAAATGTCAATAGAACTGTTTAGCAATGATTCCACTAGTGAAAACATTATTACATGAAATTATCAGTTGATAAAGATATAAAAAAAAGAGAGCTAAGAGGCTAACTCACCACTCTCTGACCTCAATTCCTCCGTAGTTTTCTGCGGAAATGAAACATCCATGACTCTAATTACATTAAATAACTAACAAACAGAGTGAAACAAATCAAATAGTAGATGGATTTTATTTAAAAAATACAAGTTACATGAAGAAAACATTTCCCTAGCGTTAGATACAATTAGTTTGAATGATCCAAATTATTAGGGATGTGCCAACCAACCAGTCCGACAACAGATCTGTACTTGGGGTCGACAACCTCTTGCAGGATGGCTGGCATCTTCACTAACTCATTCATCTATGGTTTTTACAAAAATTACTAATGCAAAATTATGGACAAAATTCAATGAGAAACACTTTTAAATTTTAAATAATCTTTAAAAGATTTAAGTTAAGATTAAAACCAAAAATAAAAACTACTCGTAATGCCTAAAAGTCATTTGAATGTAAATTAATCATATCACACTTGCTTCATCAGCTCCGGATGGTTCATAAGTTCAAAGGCCTTAGGATTTGATTGGATGATTTCATTTAGGCAGGCATTATTGGCCATCATATTTTTAATTAGATCAGGTTGAGACACAACCTCTGACACTACCTCATTCTCCAGCAAGGATTTTATCAATTCTGGGTTTGAATACATCTAGAAAAGGGTGAATATGAAAAGAATAATCTTTATAATAAATGTTTATATGATACTCATGCACATTTTAATAGGAGTATGGCCAGCGAAAACTAAATTTGAATTGATATTTGAAATAAAAGTCTTCTAAAAAAAACAAGAAGACTAAAAAGACTAAAAAAATTTAACTAAAAAACAACATTATTTCAAGCTTAGAAAGTAACTCATTTCTAAATAAATTATAAACAGAAACAATTATAAGAAATTTATAATTATGTCAACACAACAAACACTCAAGTATAAACCTCTTTCTGCAACTTTTGTTGCAAATTAACAAAATTGGCAGAGCCAAAACCCAGATCGATGAGGCCCTCAACACCGCCGATGTCACTCAGACCGAATGGACTCTCTTTGACATTCACCTTTAACTTTTTGAAAGGTTGACTGTCCTCATCCCTAACCTTTAAAAAATAATTATTTGGTTAATGAACAAATACTTTTTTACAACTATAATTTTTTTTTTTTTTTTAAATAAATAGATAAAATGCAATGACTTACAAAAAATATTTTAATATTATATATCTACTAACACTAGAAAGAGACTTGATGACGAGGTGAACAGTGGAACCATCTACAAGCGAACATTCCCTAATCGTGCAGCTATCTTTCAAACTGGTTCCAGCATTAATCAGACATAATTGCTCTGTTGATGCTGACAATTCTTGAGCTATCAGCTTTTTAAACTACAAACAATTAGGAAAAGTTATATTAAATATAAAAACAATAATTCAATTAATCAATGAATGCATGCATTCATAATTTTTATATAACATTTATATATACAACTAATCTTATTTTCAAATTTTTGAAAGCAACCAGACTAGGAATGGTAAACTAGAAAACTTGAAAAAAAAACAAAATTGAAAAAAAATTGAAAAAATTAAATAGAAATAACCTCAAAAACAGTTTTGTTGTCATCAATAACGATATCTCTGCGATCTTTGGCCGATCTAACAGTGATTGTGATTAAATTAAAAGTCTGATAATTCAATTCCGAGTCGCAGTCCGCCATTTATAAAAAAGCTTACTAATTTACTTTTATTGAAATACAAAGAACAAATGTTATCCCCAAAGAATTAAAAACTTTGGCAAAATAAGCAATATATCAGTGAAGAAGCTACACCATATATATAGAATATAACACACACATATATATATTCATATATATATATGACCCATACATATATATTTTATATATATGGACCCATATATATTTACTGGAGAAATCTGAACGAACCATATTTGTTTATAATAAATAATATAGGAATAAACCAAAATGTACTAAAATATACCTGAAACTGCGGTTCACTTCTTTATTCTTATTTACATTAATTAAAAAAAATTTCCGGTATTCAGAAAAAATCTTGTCGAATAGCTTATTATGGAAGATTAAAAATGGTTGTGATTTTACGATATTTTTATCCTTTCAAACACACACACACACATACACACACACACCCACTATATAAAGATTAGTTAGGTAAATTTATATGGATAATTTGAATTGTAGGTAGGGTAGGTAGAAAACACACAACATTAATGTAGTTGACTAGGTAGATAACTTAAGTTTTTATCACTTTCTTCTGTACTTTCTTGCACGTGCATCACATGAATCCGCGTTTTAAACACAACACACATGCATATTTAAACACATACTTTCATTACATTAGCTGTGCGTAATTTTATTTTCATGACACATCACTTAAATTTAATATTTACTAAGGTTGAGAGTAATTTAATGTCGTACTAGCATTGCTATGCGATACAATGAATGAATGAATAAATGAATGAATGAATGAATGAATACACATCACATCAGATAATAAAAGCGTCGCAAAAAATTCGATTTGAACAATTGACAGCTATGGATGAATATAAATTCTGCTTGAAATAACATCATGTCGAAAGTACAATATACAAAGAACGGATAAGAAACACACACAGAGTTCTTTAATAATTATAATGAATGAAAAGAGAAATTTATAATTCATAATTTAAATTAGTTCCTAATTATGGCGGTGGTTGCATTGCCAGGCATGATTGATATCTCCGACGCCTGGTTTGTTTCGCGTGGAGGGCTCTGCGTCATCAACAAATTAACATAATTCATGCATCTGTCTAAAAATACCAACTGTTCGTGATAATAAAATGAGATTCAAAATAATTTAGGCAAGTTATGATAAATTTCATGTGCTACCTTGACTTGGATTTGACTTTTGACAACAGCCGCCCGTAAAATTAGAGCCTGGATTGAAAGTTTAAAAAAAATTTTTTATACAAATACCAAAAGATATCAATGATTAAAACATAAATCCAAAATTTAAAAATAAACTTTTTTTTATAGAAATATGAAAAAGAATTAATTGTTGAGTCGTGTATTTTTTTCTGCCAATATTAACAGACCAGCTAAGACTAAACTACTGACGTGTTACCAGCGTTAAAAAAAATCCAGTAGGAAACGACAAAGCCAACTGGAGGAAAATCTTTATTACAAAACGATAAAATTGCGCTATAGAAATAAGCAAATAACGACCTTTGTTTTCCTTTGAAATTCTTCTTCCAGAGCAAAGCACTTGTCGAATGTGAGACTACGCTGATCTATGTCCTTTGCATAGAGCACCTTCAGTGGTCGAATGTTAAATGTAGCACACAGTTAGTAAGCCAAGCCAGTATATCAAAAAATATTTTACTTAATGTGATTAATGTATGCCAAGAATGTAGTGAGGTGTGGAGTAATGAAGTGTAATGAAGCGTCATAAATCATAAAACCGGTTAAAACTAGATACGAATATTAAAATTCAAGATCTGAAGTAGGCTAAGACATTTTTCTATCAAGTAACCAAAGCTACAAAAGTCGTTCAAAACAAACCAAAAAGTTGTATATATAATTTTATAGAATTCATAAACCCAATTCTAAACTAGAGATACTTCCCACAACGTCACTAGCAATCAAGGGAACATTAGACCATCAGTACACGAACAGATACACCAGCCGACCTTATTATGCGAGTCGATCCTTGCATTGATTTTGCCGTCCAGGATCAACTTCGTCAGCTCATCCTCCAGTCCCGAAACCGTCGTATTGAATGCCTCTGCCATCTTTCTCATATCCGCTGACTTGTATGGACTGAAATACTGAAAAATTACGAAATATTGGGAAAATACGAAATTATGGAAGTTAATTAAAGTTAATTTGAGGATAAAAATGCAGAATATTTTGTCAAACCATGTTAATAATAATAATAATAATACCACCATCTTCACGGCATCACCACAACTGTCTTATCATCATCATCATCCAGCACCTAACTTACCTGACAGAGAGCTCTGTTTCTGATCTGAGCATACAAATTGTCAACATGTTTGGCGAGGTACATGTCCAACAACAAGTTGTCCTGGTGATGGGATGGATGGTCGGTCGGTCCATCATCATTATCATTATCGTTATCAACAGCAGCATTACATCTTATCATCAACATCCTTACATCGTTATAGTCATCGCCATCGTCAACATCATTGTCACCATCACCATCAAATCATCATCTAAAAACATAAGTGTTTACAGCAGTTGATTATTGAAGAAAGAGAAAAAAGTAAGAAGGAAAAGATAGACAAAGAGAAAAGGAGAAGAAAGAGAGAAAGAGAGAGAGAGAAAGAGAAACATACCTTAATATTGTCTAGAAGCTTCAAACACAAAGCATATTTTGAGTCATAAAACTGGTAGATGATGTCTCGTAACTGAAGCTCCAGCTCAAGAAACAGCTTGAACGTACTGTCGGCAGCATGATGATGTGATGATGAAGTCGTGGTGTGATGATGAAGTCGTGGTGTGATGAGATTGATGATGAAAAATGAATTATACGTTTTGTTGTTTACCTACTATTGGCATGCAACGCCAAAATTTAGCCGGATCGTTACATCGCAAAATTACATACGCTTTTTAAACTCGATAACTCGATCAACTTTTTTTTTCAAGTTTTAGTGAGAAAACAAGCAGTGAGAGATCGCTATTGTGCAAACACGCCACTTAAATCTGTCCCTAGTGGCTGCTGGGCTTTTCGAATTATGCCCAAAGTCAGTATGGCAGAGGAGAGAATAATTAAGAATGATGCAACTGAATTGAATGGCAAGGTGACAAAATATCTTAAATTAAAAATAAATTTTCAATGAAATATAGGTAACAAAAGTAGTATAAAAAAAAGAATACAAACACACACACACACACACACACACACACACACACACACACACACATACACACAAAGAGAAGCTCGCTAAATGATATCACGTCATTGGATGAACCAACTCAATGCTAATAAAAATTGTAAATTAATTATGCATAATAATTACTACTATAATTACAAAATTTATTATCATAGTGACCAGCATCACAACGACACGGACCTGCTTGATATGACCAGCTTTTGAAGTTCCTGCCTGTCAAATGTGGCCAGAGCACAAAGGGCTCCGTAGGTGGCGATGTTGTTGCTGGATAACAACTGGGTCAGGTCAGGTCAGGTCAGGTGAAAAAATTCAAAAGTTAAAATAATAAATAATTAAAAGTAGAATGATGTTTTTAGGAGGTCTACAGGAATGAGAAGAATGAATAGAGCAATAAACTAACCAGCTGATATAAAAAAAACTGAGTAATGGAATGTCTAAATAACAGAGGGGACAAGACCCAAAAGTGCAAATAACGTACAATACAGTACTATATAGAAGTACAATACAAAAACTGACAAGTCATAATTTATCAAGATCCCACACTACAATTAGAACCACATACACTGCTATCTCATCCATCTATACTAAACAATCTCTAAACGCAGAAATTGAAATATACACAAATATAATATAATGAACAGCCAGAATGGAAAATATCTAAAGTACATGCTTGGTGTAAAGAACTAAAGAAGATTCATGAGATGCACATACAAAGTAATGGAAAAGTACACTTAAAAAAAATCATGAAAATGTTCAAACTAAATACAAACTTCTGGAAAGTCGACCTGGTCAAAGTTTGCTTGTAGAAAATTTTTAGCGGCATTCTTATACCTGCCAAGGACGAGGTCAGCCAGGCCAGCTGATACTTTCAACTTTGTGACTACCTGCTGGTTGCTCTCCTTGCTTATCTGCTTTCAAATGGGTAAGATTGTGAGGTACTGGATGATGACGACGACGATGACGATGACCACAGTGATGTTGATGACGGCAGTGAGAGCAACAGTGAACATGGTTTTAATTATTATAAATGATAAAAATGAAACAAAAATGATCATATAGATTCTGCTTAATAAAAGTTGATTTAAAGATAAGCATGCAAAAGAAACATTCTCAGACCACGTAAAATATAATTCCTACCTCCCTCATTTTCAGCATCATCACCACCCTCATCATCATCACCACCCTCATCATCATCATCACCATCACCATTAACATCATCACCACTGGTGACAATCATGATAGCCAACCTCACAGAAGTACGGCGTGGACTCTGCTTTATTGACGTAGGACGTAACGTGTGACCAGTTCTGCAGGTATATGCTCACCTGGTTGGAAGAATTTCAATTGTTGCTACAATGGTGCCAGGGAAGAATGGTGAGTGAGGATGGTGAGGACGATGATTTTAACCTCATTAATGTTGTAATGACAACAATGTTAATGAAAAATATGAAGATAACGATGGTTTGGTTGTAATGGAAAATAATAATGACGATGATGTGATGTGATATAGATATGTAAAGCCTTTTCATCAATGACATTTTTAGCCAAAAAAAATTTGCAGTCATTTAAAATCAAAAGTATGAACAACCATATAGATAAACATGAAAAAATAACCCCTCAATATTAAAACCTTCATTCAATGGCCCCTTCAAAAAACTCAACTAAACAGTCCAACTACTACATATAATCATTAAAAAAACTTCTGAAACACAAACTCAAGTCCTTAAAGAGGCATAAAAAAGACAAACAGACAGACAGTCAGACAGACCTTTATCACATTGAAGCACATGTAAACAATATTCTTTGAACTGGTGCAGTAGTCTCGAGCCCTGGAATAACATTTGAGAGCATTGCATAGGTCCCCACACTCCAGGTAATGATCGCCCAAGTCATCGTGCCCCCGCCTAATTTTGAAGTTTTGATTAGAGTAATGACTTGAAATGCATTAGGATTAGATGTATGTTAATTTTATAATTATATGTAATGATCTTCCAAATTTTTAAGTGTTGGATCATTTTATTTCTGCAAAAAATAAAAAACACCCTAACTTGTTTAAAAGTAAATTTACACATCGTACACCCTTCGTACCCTTACAAACCTCACACTTCACCATACCTTATACTCTCTTTGATGGAATTGCTCTTGTAGTTCTTCAGGTCAATGTCCAGCTTCTCCAACTTCATGGCTGCCTTCTTGTTGGTTGACTCCAGCCAAACAGCATCAAACGGGGGCACCAGCTGTTGAACGGGAGCCGATCCAACATTTGCTGGGTCTGCTGGTCGAGATTGACTGAAAAATTGTATGTAGGTGAAAATTAAAAAGTTAACAGATGAATAAAATACATTACCTTTCAAAAATTCAATCTAAAATTAAAAGAGGACATAATCTAGAATAAATAAATGAAAATAAAATATTAAAAAAAAACAGATGATTAAAAAGAAAAAATATAGAGTAAGAGAATCAGTGAGATACATGAAGCAAGGCAAAAAAAAACTATCTATACCTGCCAACAGCTTCTTGCAACATTCGATGGATGGTTTGGTACATTTGCGTGTTACACGTGGTTAGGACATGAGTCAGTGCCAGACGAAGTGCCTCAATTTTTAGGGATGTGCAGTATTCTGCAATGTGGAGTAGTCTGTAAATCTTGGCCAGACCTTTGTAGCTTGAAGCCACTTGTTCAAGATCCTGATGAAATGTTTTGTAATTTAAAAATTTTTTTAAATATGCTAGAGAAAGAGAACTTAATTTTAATAATAAACTCAATTCAATCCTATTAAAAAAAATGTTATGTTTTATTTATTGAATATAATATATTCATATTTCTAAATTAATATATTTTAGTGAGTATTTTTTATAAAAAAATAAAAAATGAACCAAGTTTGAGGTTTCAATGATTCTCCTGTTCTGGTCACTGGCCTGTTGAGGTTCTTCACCCACAATGTCAATCTGCATTGGCTCAACGAAGCCCTAACCATAATTTTAAAGTTTTGTTCTAATTGAAATTACAATATTACATCATTCAGTTTAAAATTAAATTTATAAATTCCATTTCATCTTACTTACTAATCTGAATCTACATCAAAATCAAAAAGGAGATTGTTAAACAAAAAATTCAAACATGGAAACAAATAATATTAAAAAAAAATGAGGAGAAAAAAATTTAAAAAATACCGCAAGCTGAATTAATTTTGAATTAATAATAATATTTTAAAAAAATAAAAAAAAAGGATTTTTAAATTTAGTCTTTATTACTTTTTATTTGATTTACTTTTACAATCACACACAATAATACACTATTCAAAAGCTAACAAATCTTTTCAGAACATACCGCATTTTGTCCGGCAAAATCATAAACTTGCACTTGAGACATCATAAAACAAATCCGTGAAACAAAAAAAATCTTTAACAAATTATTTAAAACTAATTCAACCAATTCACTCCACTTTTAAGCTGCCACAACATAAAATCGTCCTCTTTCTATTCTCTTGGTCCGGCTGAATCATGAACAAAATTGAATTGGAAAAAAAATAAAGTTAAAAATGATTGAAAGAAGTTAAAATAGTTGTTATTATAATCTTATATTTAAAATTTTACTAGTAACTAACATATTAATTAACGATAAGTAATTAAATTAATTTAATCCAGCAAATATCTAGAATCCTAATTCTCAAATTTAAATGGTCATGGTATTGGCTGAAGTTTACTTTTAAATTTTAAGTTTATGTGGTGATCGTAGTTTGCTTATGAGCGGAATATGAATTTGTGCCGTAAATTGTGTGGAGTCCCGTTGTCAGGCATCACCAATCTATCAATCAACCATCATTTGCTCAACTGTCAACTGATCAACTTTGCCTCTCCGCATCGCTACGTCAGATCTTTGAATCGGCACAGAGGTTTCCACTTTTTATAATTTTTTGAAATTTCACTTGTCTAATTCTAATAATAAATAATCTAATGCTAATCTAATAAAATAAACTAAAACTAACTAAACTTTACCTAAACTAAACCTAACTAAACTAAACTAAAGTCAGCGAATGTTCGTTTAACAAACATTCGCTAAAAACCCTGACACTAACCAACAAATTTACAATTAATACTAAATATTATTATGATTATTATAAACTTAAAATTATTTATTGTTTCATAAAAAATTAAAAATATTTAATTTACTATACTTTTGATTTTTCCAAAATAGCTTAAATTAAATTAAATCTAAACTTTTGCTAATAAATGTTTGCTAGTTTTTCCTAAGTGAAATTTCTCTTATGATTTGTATTTGATTATGATTAAAATTTTTGTTGGTAACTTTGCCCTTTGGTTTATTTTTTACTTTCCCAGTCTGCCCCAGTACTTTATACAGCAGATTAATATATTATATTTGTACTAAAATTAACATTAAAATATTAAAAATTTTAAATTAATAAACAAAGGTGTAAAAAGAGAAGATGAATTTTCCGGCTTATCAGAGGAAGATAGATCCAACTTGTTGGAAACAGCCGAGAACTTTGAGGCAATGCACTCCTTGATCTCTAAAAGCAAACAGTCTCCAAACTTATCTCATGAAATTGCAAGGTACATTTATCTATCATTGACAGTTAGTTCTTTATTAAAAATTTCATGTCAAAATTGCTGCAAATTAAAATAAACTAAAATTACAAAGTTCATACTTTTATTTTTCAGTCAATAATGAAATCATATTTATCTTGTACAGGAATGGGAAACAATTCAACCAATGGTTGACGGGAAAAATAATAGAGAGAAAGTATTTCAAGAAGGAACAAGAATTAAACTTGTTAACTTACGATGCCAAGGAACAAATCAGATACCTACACGCTGAAGACCCAATGGAATGGACTCCAGAGGCCCTATCTAAAAGTTTTCCCGTCTCTGTTGATGGTGTGAAAAAGTTATTGAAATCAAAATGTAAACTGAGAAGCATTGACGAGGTGGTGAAACACGACAAGAGGGTTGTCAAACATTGGCAGCTGTTGAGGAGTGGGCAGAAAAATGAAATCGTCTCTAGATATTTAACATACATGGAGAGTAAAAGTGAAAACGAATTAGGAGGCTTGAATAAGTATCTACCCATCCCTAAAAAACTTACCAAGGATATTGTATTTGAAAAAACTAATAATGAGAAAAATGATAACAAAATGCAAGGAAAATTTGAATCTATGGTCACTTTGCACTTGCAGTTGAAGAGTAAAAGTATAAACGGTAATAACAATAACAGCAACAGTAATGTGAACCGTGAGAAGGCTCGACTGCAAATTACAAGTAACTCAAATGAACGCAACAAAATAAAATAATTAAAAATTTCTGAAAAAAATGTCTTTTTTATATTTTATTTCAACTACTTACTAATCAGCATCATAATTACATCATAATAATTTCCAGGTAAACAAATCCATTGCAAAATGGTTAAAATCTGACATCAAATCTAAGCTAAAAAAAGTCTATAAGACCGTGCAATTTCAATTCATAATAGCGTATAATACAGTCACTGTACAGCAAAATCTATGTACATTAATGATAAACACACATGTATGTTTAACCATAGTTGTCTCGATGTAGTATCAGCTTCGAGACATCTATGGTTTAACTATACACGTGGAATACACACACACACACACCACACATACCTCTGTACACACTACACACATACGTATATATATATATATACACATGTAAGTACACATAATATTAATGGACCTGTTCTAGTTAAAAAATGATTTTAGCTATTTAATTCATTAGTTAAAAACAGTTATGATAATAAAATAAAATCAATAAAAAAATGTGAAAAAATAAATGATAATAAATTTATAATATAATGTAATTACTTTAAATATGGTTGCGCGTTTTTTAACTTAAAATTAAAATAGTCTGATTAATTTTAAAAATGTCTGGCTAATTTTGGCAAAGAAATGAGTCTATGTAGTATGCACGCGTAGGAAGCCTCAGGTTACCCTTGCAAGAAAGTTCAAACGATATAACAACAGCTATCACCGTTTCCTTTATGGAAAATTTCATGATACAATACAAATTATAATAAAAAATAATTAATATAATTAGAACAATGAAAAAAAAACACGAATGAAAATTTTTCAAACTGATAACTTACAAACAGAGGAGAGCGTTAAAGTATGTCAAATGCATGTCAGTGCATCGTTTGACGAGCTTACACATATTATACATGTATACTTAACACGGAAACCACACACAGATCTACAAACACATACACAACATAGTAGATTTCTTAAACACACGCACACACACATACATAAAGATATAGGCATATATAGCCCGATGTATGAATTTGCATGCACGCGAGAATATGCACGTTTGATATATAGTAGAGAAATGACGCTTACAGGAAGGGGGATTAAATCATATTCGTAACTTTTAAAATAATGAACATTATTATAATTATTTGTGATCATAATTGTTATTAGCGTTACCATCATATTGAATATAAATCATAGGCACAGTAGGCAAAAAATATAGTTCTTTATAGTTCTTAATCATTTGACTGACCAGAAGATCACACATACGCATACGCACACACACACACACACACACACACACACATATATATATATATATATATATATATATATATATATAAGCAAACATACCCAAGATATGTCAGTTATAATAATGAAAAATAACATTCCGAAAGATGCAGAATTTTAGCGGAAAAACAAAGAGCAGTTGATGGATGAATGAGCGAATGGATGTTGAAATATTTGATATATGAATGGATAAACGGACAATTGAATAAATTAATTTTGTATGTAGATGAAAGATGAGCAGTTTTTGAACAATTTCGCAAAAAATGAAATAATGGATATAAATATGGCTACCAGTAAAAATAGATGGCCTACCAAACAGGTCTAAAAGATATAATTATAAAAAAAAACAACAGCAATAACTAATATAATAATTATGACAATAATAATAAGAATAATAACGATAATAATGATAATGACCAAATATCGGAGACAGCACAAAACAATGATATATGATATCTGATATATAATATTTCATCAAACAATGACACCTAACTTAACATCTACTTACGTACTAAGTTGATTAAAAGCACCGATTTTTTATTAAAAAACAAAGAAATAATAAATAAGTGAATTAATTAATTAATAGTAATTAATTATTTAATTAATTATTTGAAAGGATCTTCATTGATTCAATGCTTTCTCTGTAAGACTGTGACATATGTATGCGAGGACTGCTTGCTATAATGTGTTGCATCTGTGTGTTTGTCGTCTGCACATTTTGTTGTGTTGTTAAAAATAATGCTAGCCCAAACACAAAAAAGGTTTAACTAGATGAATTATCGACCAATAGGATTGCTTTGTTTTGATCATCTACTTGTTGATTGGTTGATTCAACAGCATGACTTCCTGCCTCCTTGGCGACAGAGGACTTTCAATTTCCGGTTGCTGCTGCTGTGGCGGTTGAGGTTTATGAGGTGGTCTCTCTTTCTTTTCGAAAAACAAAAGTGGCAACATGCCTATGAGGCAGCCGATTGTTATTCCTATTGCTCTGGCCTGTGTGCAGTTTTGTGCAGTGAATGTGTGCATGTTGGTTAGGATGACAATATGAAACTGAACCGACACATTAAGACATCAGCCAGATGGTGTCTACATAAGTTGTACAAAAATGAAAATGATAATAACGGAAATAGTTTAAATTAAAGAATTAAGTAGTGTGGTTTATGGTCATTGAAGTTCTTTACAATTTTCTAAGAATCAACAACAGGCACTCTGCCAAAAAATTATGCTAAAACCATCATAACTGAACGGATCAAGATAAAACAGCTCAAAATGTTAATTTAACAAAGGTTTCTCAGTGAAAAGTAAACATATGAGTAAGATACTCTACTTGGAAAGTAAGCAAATACTGATAATGAATGATTAGAAATGACAAATATAAAAAAATAATGCAAATAAATATCTCAGACCATAGCAGTCATCCATCTGATGGACTTGAGGTGAAACTCAGCAGGTGACAGGTTTGGCTGGATGGAGCTGAACTTCTCAACTATGTTCTCTATGTAACCTGCCGTTCTGAAGCGTGTGTGTGTGTGTGTGTGTGCGTGTGTGTAGTTTTACAATCACAAAGTTTCCATTCAGCCTTACAGTTTTAAAATCTCTCAACAAATTTCTCCCTTCCACTGTAAAACCAAACATGAACTAACCCAACGCCAGCCAGATCAGATATCAGGTTACCCAATGCTGCAGCTATACATAATAATATAATTAAATTATTAATAAATAAATAAATAATCTAATTACTTATGCAATTGAATGAATGAATAAATGAATGAATGAATGCATGAATAAATATTAAGAATAAATGAATGAATGACTGAATGAAAACAAATAAGTAAAATCTGAAAGTAAATAAATGACTAGCCTATTAAATAAAAAGTTATTCAGTTTATGTGAAAATAATGATAAAATGACAAACCAACCATAATGATAATAATACTGGGTTTGTATAAATAAACAAATGTGTGTGTGTGTGTGTGTATGAGTGTGTGCGTGTATGTGTGTATGTGCGTGGGTATGTGTGAACATTCACTTACACATCATTGGACTGAAAATTTTTTTGGCCTACAATCATATTTGCCATTAAGCTCTTGCACTGATAAATGGTGGCATTAACATTTTTTTTACAGATTTTAAGATTTGAATGAAAAAAATATTTTGCATCTAGCCAATTCTTAAAATTTAATCATATATACAAGTTAGTAGTTGTTCATTTGATGAAGACTTGAATAAATCACCATAGACTGTAAATTTCAGAAGCATTAAAATTTTCATGAAATTTATAAAAGCTGCCAAATGAAAAGTCACAAAACTATTAAATTATGAATGCTCTTTCTCTCTGTGAACCATTTTTTTCGGTCTAACAGCATCACACACAGCTGTCAAACATACATATTTGTAAGTTGATGGCAAATTAGATATCGGCTAACCCTAACCCTAACCCATAGATATATCTTTCATAATAAGTAAGACAATGAAACTAAATCGTTAATGTTACAGCTATTTTTTAACATTATTATGTTTTCATAAAATTTAAATTCCTCCTTTTAAAAACCATTATAAAACCAAAGATTCATTGTCTCAATGAATAGCCATTTTAAAAGCCAGACTCCAAAATGAATAAGAAATAAAGGGACTACCAATAATTAAGTTAATTACTAGTTAATTTATTTATTAATAATTGTAGAATGTTAATTGTGCTAATGTCTGTTCATTCATCAAAGGAATACACATGCCTACACACTTGAGAGATAAAGAAAAAGAAAGGGAAATAAAGAGAGAGAGAGGAGAAAAGAGAGAGACCAACCTGCCATCGTGGAGATACCCAGAAGAAGGCCCAACTGTATGTCAATGTACTCTCCCTTGTTTTTGAAATGAAATTTTTAAAAAATAATTTTAAAATTACAAAACAAACATCATATGATGATGGATTTAGCAAAACAAGAAATCGTGTTCATAATGACAAATGAATCAAACTCATAGCAAGAAATTATGACAAAAAAATGTACAAGTTCTTTCTTACTTACAGCTATTATCATGATACCATTGTCTAGAAAGCCAAATCCAATAAACGGGAGACAGTTTGTTAGAAATACTGTGGTTGAGAGATTTAGTTTAAAAATTTTTTAAAAATATTAATAAACAAATCTTTTCAGTTATTGTTATAAATAATTTAAATAATTATTAAAAAAAATAAATGTTTCTAAATTAAAAAATCCAAACAGCATACCTTTGAAGATTTCGCTCGTTGGAATCGGTCTTACACTAAAACTAGATTCATCTGGGAATGAAAATTCAAGTTAAAATCGTGGTATTAGTATCAGAGACAAATACAAAAATATGAAATTATTCAATAAATGAATATTATGCCAAATAACAATATAAATGATTAAATAAATTTGATCTAGAATTTTATCATCAAACTGAAGGAACAAAATTAAACAAATGTTTTGAACTGAACACTTGGTAGTCACTGAATGAACAAACCTTTCTTATCATCAATAATCCTCAACTGATCCATGAGCAGTTTGCGACCTGTGGGATCCAGATGTAAAGCCAGATTGCGAGCATCATCTTCTGAACTTATGGGCGGGTACCAAACCCTGTTTCCCCCTCTCGCTCTGGGGTCTCTCACGTTGGTAGTTGGCCATTTCCAGTGACCGCTGTTTCGAGGTAGAGTGTTTTTAGTGGTGGTAGTGGTGAAAAATTTTGTCTGCGGCAGGTCAGAAAAATGCCGAAAAGTCATCATCACAGGTGACGAAAGAGAAACGTTGTTTTTAGAAAAATTTTTAATAAAACTTGAACAAATTTGCAAGGTTATTAGATGCTTCATCTTGCACTGAAAGTTTTAACTATCAATTTAATATAAAAATTAATATTCTATCTTATTTTCTATCCTTCTATTTTTCTGCTACAAGCAAGGTGTTCTGAATGTACCACTGTGGCCAGAGAATTCCAAAACGCCTCGGTGACCTTTACGAAGAAGTAACAGTTCAATTAAAGAATGGTTTTTCGCTAAATAAACTACTAAAATTGAAATTTTAAAATTAAAAAATTAAAAGCATTAAATTGAATTAGTGAAAATTAATGCTAAAAAAATCTTTTTAAAAACATTAAAAAAGACAGCAACGTCGAAAATTGCAGATAGCAGGATGAACGACTTTTATGGAGAGCCATTCAACAAGTCAATCCTTCAATGAAATAAGTTTTCATATCACTGCCGTGAAATGCACAACAAATGTGAAATGTTGGATTTGTAAAATTCACACATACAAATAATATGCATAAAATTTATTTAGATATTAATTACTATATTATTAAATTGGCTTAAGATTCAGCGATTCAACCATGGATATCCATGGAATCTTGCTGGTCAGTCTACGCCCCAAGAAACTGAATGACATTTCCAGCAAATGTCTCATGTTAAATATGAAAAATAATAACCTCGTATTACAATCTGAAATTACAATCCAATTAATCAATTTGTTAAAATAGAACCAATCTGCAAAAATATCACGTCTCTTTGAAGTTTTCTGTCTTTGAATGTTGTTGAACCACTGGTCAGCGAGCAGTGATGCAGGCAGACTCGGGTTTATTATTTTTTGATTTTTCGTTCTTTGCATCAGCTGACTTTGATACTTAATGCCAAAATAAATTTCTATGAGATACTAAAAAAATGTGTTTCCAAGTAAAATTGAAAACAAAACCACACTCAAAGAGGAAGTTGTTTTTAAAAATCAAGTTATCGAACTACAAATCAACACCCAATAAAGAAACATTCAAAGAAATGTTAGACAACTGAACGCTGAATTTGGGGCTGTCCATAAAGGATGTCACGTTTTTGTGGGGGGTAGAGGGTGAAAAAATTTGTGGCACTTGGTGACAAGGAAAGGTAAAGAATGGTTGAATCTCATGTGATATTCCGTTTTTATTTTTTCTAAATTTCTATCATGAAGTTATAAATTTTTTTTATAAACTTTTTGTCATGTATGTTCAGCACGCAGAAAAAAATGCTTCTTTCAAACTTTATTTCTTGCTCTTTATCATGTGATGAAGTTATGTACGTGTTTGTAGTTGACCTTCATTATTATGATATTGATAAATTTGCGTAAAATTTTTTATTTTGTTAGCAACTAAACGGTACATATCGAGAGGGAGTGGTCGAAAAATTGTCACGTGAGGGATTTAAAAATTTGTGACAGTTTGTGACGGGGAGAGGACGCCCTCTATGGACAGTCCCTTGAAATTATATAGATATTCTGCATTGTGGATTTTTTTCCAACCATATTTCCTTCAGTCCAAACTTACGAGACGGTAAGGGAAGGTGGCCTGAAATAACAAGTCAAAATAAAATTGACAAATTTCTTCTGACATGATGGAGAATGTGCTTAAATTATTTGAATTATTTATCAGCACTTTGCATGGTAATAACATTTCTGCCTTTGTCCACAGAGACAACATTGCCAACACGTAGACAACATGTATGTGTGTGTGTCTGTGTGTACGTGTGTGTGTGTACGTGTGTGTGTGTGTACGTGTGTTTGTGTGTGTGTACGTGTGTGTGTGTGTACGTGTGTGTGCATGTGTGTGCGCGCGTACGTGTGTTTATTCCGCAAAAATCACAGTATTTTTAACATTGCATAATTTTCACTTCAATTTTTAAAATTTGGTTTATTTTATGAAGTGGTCGAGTTTGTTGGTTATGATAACACTTGTGTTAAGTATCAAAGATAGATACACTTTACACATACATTTTTTTATAACACACATATGCACACACATTAACACATGTATGTATGCTTGTGAGTATGGACGTGATCAAATCAACCAAACAACCAATAAATTCGAATGCTCAACCAACCACCCATCCATCCAAACATTTATTAAACAAGCAACCAACCAACCAACCGTTCAATAAATCATTCATTCAATCAACTAATCAACCAACTAATCGACTAATCAATTAATCAATCAATTAACCAATAAATTAAATTGAATGAACCAAATAACCAATGAGTGAACCGAATGAACAAATATTGAATTATGAAAAAACGAAATAAAAAACAAAAAAATAAATTAATTAAAAAAAAATTTGCGAGATTTTCATAATGCAAGACACATGGCATGCTTGGCTTTTATTTGATATCATTTAAAAATAAAAAAATTGAATTTTTTAAAATGTTTGGGTTTTAAACTAACGAATATAATGAAATATCGACCGATAAAAAAATTATTCATTATCATTGTTTTTATTATTGCTATTATATAGTGATGATTCGATCCTACGTTAAAATATCAATCCCTTTCGGTTTCGATTATTTTCAGGTATAAATGAAATTCAACTCTATGATTTTTTTGTTTTAAATTTTATTGAAACAATTTAAAAATTTAAATGTTAAAAACAAATTATTATATGTCTTAAAACATGTGTCAGAAATTATTTTAAGTCTTAAACATCTATCTAATTTTATCGTCCAGCAGCTTCCAACATTCAATAAACTTTTTGTTCGTATTATCGCATGCACTCCTTAGAAGTTCTCGAAGGATAATAACCCACGTAACATGAACATTTAGTAAGAACAGTTCACAGCATATCACAATGGCTAAATCAACATACCAAACAGAAATTATTTATACATGCATATATAGTACAACGTAAATCAAGAAATACAAAAAATTATATAACCAAATGAAAAAAAACTAGAAACCAGTCAACATTCAATAAATAAATAAATAGACATTAATAAAATTGTTCAAAAAAGTAAAATTTAAGGCGGCGACAAAAAAAAATTTAGTATGTTTTGTTGGTGTGGTGGTGTGAAGCAAAAACAAACACATGACAAAAAAATACTAAAAGTCGTAAGAATAATAGTCAGTCACCTAACTACAATTAAATTACTACCTATAATAATTAACTCATCTCACTTTTATTAATTTATTATATAATAATTTAATATATAATTTAATTTTTTTTGTTAGAAACTTTTTAACTAATGTTAAGCCCTAGCCTACTTACGATTGTCCAACTCATCTCAATCCATAACTTACCTACGAATTAAATTAAAGTCCGGTAAAGAAAATGGCAAGTTGAAGAGAAACACAACAACAACAGCACCGAAAATGGATGTTGTATATGTGTGTGTTGTATTGATGTGTATGTGTATGTATGTGTGAATGGGATAACAATCCACTCCAAAACATTCCAATTATTTGTTCAAATTCGAGTACTTTCTGAAGTACAACGGCAATAAAATTCGTTAATATTTATTGATAATATTTTGTTTATATATATATATATATATATATATATATATATATATATATATATATATATTATGGGTTTAGACTATCATAAATACAATTATTTATAAAGATCACTGCGTTTTCGCAGTGATCTTTATAAATAATTATATATATATATATATATATATATATATATATATATATATATATATATTAATATATGTAGGTGAGANTTCAAAATAGTTTGAGA